AGTATATTCATCGGTTTTTCTTCTAAAAATAAATTTCTTGGAAATCCCTAAAAGACGCGAGACTTTGACATGCCGTCACGCCAAGTTTGTTGTTATTATTCTGGAAAAAAACGTTGGGTGGGGTGGGGAGTCGAATAAGTCTATTTTAGTAACCAATTTTTCATTTTTAAGAACATTACGGATTAGCATGCCAACGGAAAGGGCCAAATTATGGAAACAGTAGACAAACTGAAAAATTATAATTTCCGTTGTATACGCAATGGCAGATGTGATAAGCCATATAAAACAGATTTGTACTTTTTAGGTGTTGAATATGATGTGAAATGTACTGAAAAATTAATATTGACCTCGGTATCGCCTCGGTCAATATTGTTTTTTTCAGTACATATCACATCATATTCAACAGCTAAAAAAGTCCATTTTTGTATAATATTTGTTTTTCTATGGCGCATAAATTTACGGCAACATTTACGCTTATTGTACGCTTATTGTTTACAGAAAGTTTTGCCCATGATCTATTTTGAAATGGCACAAGGCAATTTCTGAGCATTTAACTAGTGAAATGTCTAACATTTTCTGATAATACCAGTTAGGAACGAAAAATAATCCTTCGTGATGTGAATGAGAGACAGGGACAAGTACAACATTTTTAATACCAATGAATACATGAACAAGCACAATTCAAAAAATCAAAACTTTAAAATCAATGTTCTAAAATGACATGATGGTACTTTATAGGAAATTAAATAAACAACTTAGAAAACAATTTATAAATTGATGTAGAATATTTATGATGACTCATAGTAAATGTTATAACATCTGTTTACAAAATAATAAATACAAGAGGTAAAAAATATTATATTGAGTGATATACTGACCAGTTAATACGGTGCATTGCATTGCATTTCATTAACTAAAAGTGTATGGATATGATTCTAAAGATACTGAGCGTGCATTTGATATGTAAAATATATTGCACTATGATGCTCGTATTGATTTTGATGAAAGTATATGTATTTCTTGATAACAGGGAATATTGAGATAGCATAACAGCTGTGACAGTCATTACAACTATTATGTAACTTTTGATCACTAAGTTTTTTTTTTTAAATTCATTCATATTTCATAATCTTAACATTATTTTATAGATAAAGTTAACGACAAAAAAAGGATTTTTATCAATGGATGTAGTCTTCAAAAGTTATCTTGTACAAATCTCAATATCCAACGATAAAAAGTAAAATTAGATATAAAAAAGATAAGGGCACCCTCAAGAAATTAATACAAAACAAATACATGAAGTTGAAAATCGCAGATTCGGTTATAACATGGTGTTCAAGAAATAAAAATGGAATATGGGTCTAAAATAATTCTAAATCTCAATATGAAGTATAAAACCTTGATGAAAGATAGCTATTGGGGTTACATGGAAACTGATAGGCAAATCAAAGGTTTTATTGAAAAGCACCAGAGAAACGAACAGAAATAATATTCCAATGTAAGTTTGAAAAGTCTCTTGTATATCAGATTTTAACTGGTAGAAGTGCTATACAGTTTTATAGTTTAATAAATGGTTAATAGTCGTATATCTACATTGATATGTTTGATCAAAGACTCATTTGATACCTCATGCATTAACACCAGTTCTAGTTTTCGGAACAGATGTTACATTTTTGATTCTGTCACAAACACCACTAAAGTTTTTCAATTTTTTGTCATATTGAAAAAAAAAAACATTACGACTTCAGCTCAATGCTCAGCTCAATGCTTTGCATCAAACATTTGCCTTGATGATCTTAAGTAAGGTCGACTTTTTCTAAAACATTAACTGGAAAATGTTGTGCTTCTTAAACGCAAGTCAGTCCATGATGTTTTATTATATTAAGATAATAACGTTATAGCTCAATCGCATTTGGATTTGTTCTAGTAACTCGTAATAAGAAATATTTACAATTTTACTGTAACAACTAGATAAAATATGACCTTGTCGGTTTCACGCTTACGATTTGTTTTACAACACTCATTGTTGAGTGTTTTTTTAAAACGCTGTTTACTTAACAAAAAATATTTTCTTTCAATTTATCTAAATGTAAATTAAACATTAAGACCATTAAAATATGTGCTAAACATTGTTTAATATTACTAAAGAGATAACGAGAAAGTACGTGCATCATTTATTGACATGGTACTAAGATAAAGAATTTCCACATGCAAAAAATATTCAGTCGTAATGAAAAAGTTTTATCATTGACCCAAATTTATTTATATATATTGCAAAAAAATCAACAAAGGATTTAAACTATCCAACAGTTTAAAACCCTACGCAAGCGTGGTTTCGTTTTCTTTATTTTATTAGTATATTTATTTATTTATTCAGCTACCTATAAATTCTTGCTTAATGACTTGTCTAATTCCCGGTCGCATAAAGCTATAATAAAATAAAAAGGTACTCTTCCTACCTATCATCTTGTTTTGAAAATCCCTAATATTTTTCTACCCTTAATTGAATTTTCCGAGCTGGAGACGGAGACGCGACTAGTCCTTTCATATGTGGTTAGTAAATATTAATAAGTAGAAAAGTAGAAAACTCGTAAGTACAGGGGCGTTACCGTTAGCATTCAACCAATCAATAACTGTTGAGTTGGAATGCATTACATCAGTATGTATACGATAGGATGCTGTATAATCAATGAAATCTACACTAGACCTGAGTTCAACTATATCGATTAATCAATATTTTCAGGTAGTTTGATTTCTTATGTATACATTGTCATTGAATAGTAAAGTTTTGTATTTCTTTAAAAAATCTTTCCACTTACTTTTACCTTGGTGTTTATTCTAGGACATTTACACTTTTACAGTTATATAGAGAAAAATGTCTACAGGAAAAAACACTGTCAATGAGGTGGAAAGACCTATGTGTGTTGAGATTTCCCGTTTGTTGCTATGGCCTGAAATCTATTGTTTTGTCTTGTACCGAATAAACTTCTCAAACTTATAACTAATTATGACACTAAAGCTTCAATGAATGGACCCTATTCGCAAGGAAATATAGATTATAAAACATTTAAATTCATTGAGATGGCAAAACCGTCCGTTTGAAATAAAGGGATTTATATTGTTATTATACTGCGCATATCTTATTCTTATGCACGGCAAAACATTTACTATAACGAAAGTTTTCATATCTTTCAAACTTTCAAGTTTTTTTGTGGCACATTTGCCGAAAATATTCAATATTAATTTAGGAAGCTAAACTTAAATACATTAAGGATAAACTAATCTAACTGTAAAGTCCATCTTTTTTCATTTTTCTTTTTTTATAAATCCTTCACCTAAAGCTTGTACTTATAAATGTTTCTGTCCTTATAAATATTTTATTCTTTCTCTTATATAAATGTACATGTACGTACTTAGTGCATGATAAGACAGAAGGCGGAACTGGTTTTACCGCAAAGAGGCGGAGACAATAATAATACTTTTTAGTAAGGTTATTTTTTTCTCAATGTTTTAGCCTAGATATGCAAAAAAGATATGGTTGGTTTAAAAAAAGAAATAAAATGTACATAATTGATATTAAAATGCAAGTAAGAAACTCTGGGCAAACGAAATTTCATATTATCAAATAAGAAGGTATTATAACAAAATAAAGATGGTTAAAGTGCTTTATGTTTTTACAACTTGTTTATTATTATATATTTAAAAATGGTTTTGATGTATAATTTATTAGATGTCCTACACAGCTGGCTTTGGTTATTAGAAAAGATTATCAATATTAAGTCTGTAATCTACGCGCATGCAATTATATAAGTCGAAAAACATTATTGTTAAAAGCAATAGTAGCTTTTTATTTTCTTGATTATATAGGTTCAAAATGAAAACAAAATCATAAGTAATTTCTACAAAACCATTTTTCACAATTAGAAAATTATTCCTCTTAATATGCCATAGTGATTAAAATGTTACCGAAATGTAAAGAGGGGATGTGAACTAATAATAGTAATAATAATTAAATGGATGATGAACTTAGGTAATATTAGGAAAACTTATATCTTTTACTATCTAAATAAGAATAAAAGTAAAGAAAAGTTTATTCTTATTGATTGCCATTAGAGTCCTAAATCCGTTGACAAGAACATGTTTCACAGCAGTTTGAAATTTTATTAATGTATACAGTCATGTTTTTATGCAATTAAACAAGCTGTTTTTATGATATACTCAGACTGTAGGGAATTTAAACCGGGAAAGTAAAATCCTTTGTCCTGCTGGCCACACGAAATAGAATAGATAAATGGGGTTATATTCTAATTGTTCTTATTATAATTGTTAACATGTCTTATAAGTAAGTGCCGGATATGTGGATATCGTCTAAATGATAACCCATTGTTTAGAAGAAGTATGTTTCATGTTAATATTCAACTGATTTTTTTCAAGAGTTCATTAAAGGCATATCCAACCGTCGACAGTTACCAACAATAAAGCTGATTTAATTCAAGTCGTCACAAATAAAACTTTTTGATACAAATTAACAACACTTCGCTATTCATACAGTCTGTATGCTTAATAATTTTTTTGGTCACTTCTTAGAAAAATCATGCACAAAAGAATTCTGCCACCTCTAATCTTTGAATTTTAAGTCTAAATTTCCCCACCTAACAGAAACTACTTGTGTTTATTATTGGTTAAAGGAAAATAAAAATAAGTGCTTTTTAAAACTTTTATGTTATATTGATCATGAAAAATGATATTTAAAACAGAAAAAAAAATGATAAGTATTTTTCAAGATGTTTCATCCTTTTCAGTATCTTTTATTCTAATCACAGAATACTACAGGTACATATAATAATGATATACAGTATACTGCAATCAGCAACATTTCCATCTTATCTGTATTTGTTATATATCCTTTTTATGTAGTATGAACAGAAATATGTTTGTACAATGGACCAAAAGAAAATTAGAATTGACCTTAAAAATAACAGGTTAATAAAGTATCTTACCAGCATATACACCGCCGACAGGCTGTCTATTTCTTCTTGTGTTTTGTGTTTCTTGTACACCTGAAATTAAGAATATTATAATTATATAGACTCTGAATGGTTATGAGCTTATATGATTTGGTCCGCGTTTAAAACTCTTTGGAAGTAAGATACAAAGATCATCAGCACATTATTTTTATATTAAAATGTGTTGTTTTGGTAGGATTAACGTTGATGCATATATTCATGCATTAAAGATATTCAAGACAAAATAATGGTAAATGAACAAACTGAGCATGCTCATAATTAAACAATTGGAAGCTAATTATAAAAAGTCGTAAGTAGTGGTATTGTATATCTAAACACCAATATTATTGAAATAAATGCGATATTTTGAAGGATATTTTAAATTATGATAACATGTTTTGTAAACCTTTAGAAGCAAAAAAAGACGAGCAACTTTCATATCCTAATTTTTATAATTTAATGTTATCAGTTGGTTACACAAATCAACTAGTATTTTATAAAACCGATGTTTCGATTCATGAAATTTAGTCTAATCAATTTCAGTGACATCCTGTATTTCGCAGTATTGTTCGATCCAATGCATCTAGAGAGATTAATTTTATTAATACCGCAAATATTAATTTTAAAAATGGGACCAATAATACACACGATTCCTTATCAAACAATAAGAATATGATTTTTACGGTTCTATTAGTTTAAATCTAATTCATTATCATCAGTAAACATCTTGCTATAGTACGTCGGGCTTTTATCTAAAGTTCAAATCTAAAAAAAAATCGAAACACAATTGAAAGAATGACCTTTACATATTAGTGTTCGTGTTGAAAAATAAAGTTAGTGATAAATAGTGATAATACACTCCTGACCGCAACAACATGATCAACATACTGATGCAACTGATATTTTAACGAGATAAAGTGCAAGCTACTCACAGTATATAAAAACTAAAAAAAAAAACGAGAATATTTGAGTACAATAAATTCTTCAAAGCTTGGACCGAGAGAAACCGTACATACCGTGTGATATACAAAGCCTATTCAATCAGTGTAATTTTCCAAAATAAAGTAGTTTCATGATATATTAAGCGTATCATATTTACCTAGTTGTGTTTTTATTTTTGTTTTTGAACAGACAGGAATATGATTATTTTTCATTTCCATTGCATCGTCAATGGCTCGCGAAATGTACGAGTAAAAACTGAAGGGAAAGAAAAAACAAAACAAGCATATGTGTCAGACAACCTATGTGTTAACCCTAACAGACTCGAAAGGAAACTTAAGAGGTACACGGTTCATAAATCAAATATAACATGTAATACAAATTAATTAGGTTTGTGCATGTATTATACATTTGTTTCGAAATTTCATTAATAGTCTATATAGTGTTATAAGTTAATCATAAACGTATGTTTTACAAAACTCTTTGTCAAATATATAGCAAATTTCTCCTTCACATGCATATGCCTTTTAATTATTGTTTTCAAAATACAATCATATGTCAATTAGTTTTCTATGTCTTGTGTTTCGAACAAAATAGTATGGAATCTGAAGAAATAAGTGATAATAGCAACAATGGTTTTTATGTAAACATATACAACAGTAAAATGCATCATATCTTGCCGACAAGACTGTTCTTATGGTTCTTATTAACAAACTGTAAATCAAAAACACAGCATATGTTTGGAACGGAACTTTTAATGACCTTTTTATTACTGTTTCTTAACTTTAAACTGTTAATTGTTGTTTAGTTTAATACTGTTAAAGATGATTTTACATGTTGTAAATATTGCTTTGCTCTTTATAATTGGAGGAAATCAAGGTTTCTATCTACTTTTTGCACAATGTATTCACAACATAAGAGGAATACTAATGACGCTATAAACACATGTTCATGACAAAAAAGTGCTGCCTTACTGATTTACCTGATAAAATAGTTAAAAAGAAGCCAAAATTATTTCCAAGAAAAAGTGAAATATTATTTGTGCACATTTTAGGAAAAATAACTCCGCTAGACATTAATACAAAGAGCACCATTTGAAACAAAAATTGAATTGTTAAAAAACCGGTACCAGAAAATTTCATGTCTATATTTCATGCATTATAGATGGCTATATATGTCAACACATATTATGCTAATAAACTATATGTTATGTAATGTTGTGTGATGTTATGTTAATTTCACTTTTTTACGTAAAAATGTCATTTTGAAATAGGGAGCAATTAGATGTGAATTAATTTGTATTTTTATCATGTTATACAAACATATGTACATTTTGTTTGCCATAGTAATAAAACCTTGCCATTTTCCAAGTCTTTTTCAAAATAAATGCATAAACATTGACAAGGAAGTATGTTTAAGAAACGCAATGCAATTCAAATATTTTAGACTTTCATTCTTTATTTAAAATGATACAATTAAAATCACAGATCACATAGTTGTCTAGATTTCTTTTTCTGTAAGCGCAATGCAACAGTAATGAAATAAAAATACGAAATCTAAGTGGTAAATTCTGATGATTTTATTAGTTTTAATCGTATTTTGAATTGACCTTTGTAATACCATAATTTCAATTTTCTCTAGAAAATAAGCCTAAAAAATTCCATACTTAAGAGTTTAAATCAACACGTGTTTTCAATGTAAAACTTCAACAGGTAAATTGAAAAGATGAATTAAATGTGGTTATACATGTCATAATTTCCTGATTTGTTTAAAGTTTAATGACTTTGAGTTTCGGAAATCAAATAACTAGTGAAACGATTTATTATTCTGCATAAAATGTAATAGCTCCTTTACTGAAGCAGTCCAAGACATTTATAATTTTAAATCCGTCCAGGAAAAATCAAAAGTAAATTCATATCATGAATTTGAAACTACGTGTCTGAGGACGTACGTTTGAGCAAAGGATTCTTTGATATATATTTAATTTATTTTTCAGTAACTATTACAGCCTTGACCTTTTAAGTTATTCTTTTTTAAACTTTAAAGTTAGTCATTTTATCTAAAACAAATAACTTAAACTGTGTCTCACACTACGTTAGTTTCCATTTTATCTGAGTCTATCCATGGATAAACTTAACACAGCCTATCCAAATAACTACAAATATAACAAAATCAACCTTTAGTCCAGAAATAACAATTGTCAGAGATTATTTGATTTGATTATTTTTCAGAACGTTGACTCATCTGCGAATTGTAACCATTTGGTTTTTTTACCATCTCTGAGAATATAAGTACAAAACATAATACTATATCATTTCAATAGCTTATGTTTCTGCACATAAATTAAAGATATAACGCTAATTTTATTGTCTTGATCAAAGCCTCGTTTTATCAAGAAATATAGAATGGAAAATGTACATAAGATACAACAAATAAATAAAAGTAAGTTTCAATTTTATATAAAAAGGATATTTTTTTCTGATGGTTAAGAAATATTTTAATTAAATGCGGTTAATTTCATATACATTGTAATTTCAAAACATGCCACATAGAAAGCTCCCTCATATATCTATTTTAGCCCCCCATATAGCTTTAGAAACTCAACAACAAATATTTAGTTAATTTTGCTGTGGTTATTAAATAAATAATGCACCAAAAAAGAAAAACATAGATGCTTACCTTCCATAGTGATATTTCAAGCAAAATTATTCTTATTATTTAACACCTTTATACCTGTTTAGTTCCTTCACGCATCGAGTTGAATTTTACAATAATAAAGACAATTGTTTCCCTTTATACATAACCGTATCGAATCGTGCATTTAACTATAATACATACATAGGCATTACTACGTAGCAAATTTGCAGACAAGCGCTATCCAGTCATATAACACTCTTAGGTTTATCACGATACATGACTTGTATCACTTCTATACAGTCACAATACTTCGATATTCGATAAATATTTGTCCTTCCGACACATTGTTTAATAAGGACGAATTGTTATATTTTACATAGTTATATGTTTGCTTGATTTATATAGTTATTTCTGTTTTAAAATACTTGAAAAAAATTGATTCACTTTCTTGTAAATGGTAATATATATTTTTTTAAACAATTCAATTCTTAAAAAATAAAGACTTACAATTTTTATAAATTCACAGCAGTAACCACAAACGACGCATGAATAAAAAATGCAATCAATCAGCCAATGTCACGCTTCAGTTGTAGTTCTACATACTATCGGAAATATTCACCCGGTGGCTATTACGAAAATGTATTTACACATCGATGAAACCTATCCAAAATGAAGTTTGAGTAAATCATAGGCTTTATTAATTATTTTGTCTTCTGATTTTATAAAAAAAAAACAAAAAACAAAAACAACATCTGACCCCTATGGAATATTCATTTGTTTCTTTGATAGCTTCATTTCATCTTGATATTTTTTAATTCATTGAGACTTTTATTTATAACATTATATTTTCTTGCTCGTCTTGTATGTAAATTGTTATCATTAAATTTTATAATTTACACCATCAATTGACTGCGCATCTTTAATTTGTTGATGATATTTGCACGGTACTTACTTTTTGTTTTGACACATACGATTTAAAAGTCTTTAAATTCAATGGAGTTAAGTTGAGTGTGGTTTATTTTATACTGAGTTTATTTCAATTTGATTGTGGAGAAGTCGTATAAAATCCTATAGACATACTTTCGAATCCGTTTCTAGAATTCACCAGTACTTAGAGGGAAGTTAATATTTCCTGGTACAAGAACACAGCTTTCATTACGAGTCGGACGTGTTATTCACCCGGCTATGACGCAATGCAAGTTTGGTTTAATTCAATAAAAAGACTTATTTTGTCACTACCTTTGCTGAGAATATGTGAAAATCAGATTTCTTTCGTTGCGTAAAAACCGATAACTAAGACCAAAATTTGCTTTTGCACAATGGTAAAAAACTATTCTATACTTCCTTTTAAGATTCTAATTTTAGTCACTCTAATAAAATAATAAAAATTTAAATCTAAGGTCTAGATCTTTACTTTTTTAGGATTCAAATAAGGTAACTTTTCCCCTGGTATTTTTGAAAGCAAAAGATTACAAAACAAAGTTCAAACAAAATGTTCAAGAACAGAGCT